TTCAACCATCCTCAGAGATCTATAAGCCCCAAAGCCAAAGCCCTCTTGGGGCACCTGGATATGGCCGAGTATGCTTTAGAAGGATATGTTTTAACACACGCGCTGTGTGAGTTTTTTTGGCTTGTTGAGTCCTGAGCAGGGCATGCCATTGGGACTTAGTAGGCCTTGCCTCGGAGGCCTTGCCTCGGAGGTGATCGTCCAGCTTGCTGTTTTTGATGTTGTTGTTTTCTTCTTGTTGTTGCTTGTGTCATAGTGAACTGTGTGTTGTGTGTGTTTGTGTTTTTGTTTTTTGTTCTTGTTGTGTTTATCTGTGTTTTTTTTGCTTTTGTTCTTTGTGCCTTTGGTTTTTTGCTGACTCGTGATTTTTGCGATCCTCAAACCCAGATGAACTAGCAGAGTCCGGAAAACGTAGCGAGACGTAAGGCGATTTTTTTCCATGCCACAACAGTCCTTTACTGGTGGCTTCAGGGTCCAGGGTTTCTTCAGGGGTTTCGGAGCCTAACGTGCCAAGGGCCCCAAGTTCAAAACCCTCAGTTGTCCCCAACTCGTGAATGGTGCAATGGTAGTGGGTTCAGGTTTAGATTTGCCAGTGTTCGATTGCCACACGTTGTGGCATGTGTTTAGGCAGCTTTCCTGAGTGCCAGGCTCTTCAAGCCTTAGTAGTTCTTTGCAGGGGGCGTGTATAATCCTGTGAAGGGATGAGATGCGGAACCTCCCTGCCGAATCCCGGACAACGAACCGGCAAGAAACCCCAACCACCGGCCCCACCTAACCCTAAACCTAACCCTAAAACCCTCAACCTCAACCCGAAACCCCAGATTTTGAAATGGACCTACGACGGCCGTGTTCACATACGTCTACAATTGGGGGGGTTCCGGTTGCCACTCGCCTCGTGCCACCGGTGAAGGCACTGCCTCCTGACAGGACGAGAGGACTCCACGCAAACACAGAAAGCAAAGGCCTGGGGGTGGTTGGGGAAATGAGCTGTGGGTTCTAGGGGGTGTGGGGTAGGGCTGGGTCGGGGGGGGTATCCCTAGAGTGCCCCCGCCGAGAGAAGCCCACTCCCGGGGAAGCCCGCAAGAGTCCCGAGTGCTTCTTCATATATGAAAATCGTTGCTTTCCGCTTTATGTATTTCTCATTGTTTATGTTTGTAATTATGTGCTTTTGCCTTTATTTATTGATTGATGTATTCTTCTTGCATGGGTCTTTGTTTCTACTGTTTCTCTCGTTCTGTCGTTCTTTCCCTCCAGCCTTCCCCTTGGTAAAATACATTAGTCCCCCCTTCTCCAGCAAAAAAGTCCAATCCAAGTTAAAAGGCCTTTATGCCTCAGAGAGCAGAGAGGACACTCTTAGCTCCACCATACCCAACCATACCCTACTGTTTGCATCGTTTCGCAAAAGACCGATGCCGCAGCAGCCTGAAGTGAAGGCTAGAGCATCCACAAATCCACAAAGTCTGGAATCTGGCTGGTCGGCCTTGCATCTTCAAAGCAGAATCTGAAACTACCGCTTGGTAGACAAACGCTAAGATGAGCTTCTCGGCAGCTTTGACATGGCTTTCCACCGTGGAAGATGGTAAGTAACGGCCCAGCCAAGTTGCCTGGTTCAGGGTTTAGGCTTTGGGGTTTATGGCCTGTTAGGGCTTGTTACGGATTAAGGTTTGTTAGGATTCAGGTTTGAGGTCTAGGCTTTAGGGAAGGGATGAAGTGGAATATTGGGCCAAGCCAATTTGTCAAGGATACTTACCAAATGCTTTGGCTGACTAGCCGGCTCGTGGAGGAGGCCAATCGAATTGGACAGGGACTACACAATTTTGTCAGGGAGGGGCAATTCACTGCGGAATTTGCTCAGAAAAAAACGCCTTGCCATGCCCCTCCGGAAAGAATGAAGCTGATAAGATGACACTGATTTATTGATGCAGCTTCGGCTGTTGGAACGCGCAAGAAGCTTCAAAGCAACCCTGATGTACCACAATATGACGGTATACTAAAGTATACTATAAGAATGTGCAAGAAGCTTCAACTCAACCATGATGTACCATAATATAATATTTCACTATAGCATACTGTAATGTGGTATACTATTGTACTATAGTATAATCGTAGACTATATGCGGAATGAGCTGGGCTGCAAGAAGCACCGCAAGCCATTTTCTGCTGCGCCACACATGCCTGCACCTTTCAAAGCCTCTTGGAGCTCCCACCGGCTGCTCTTGCAGTATCTTGCAGTCATCCATCAAGCCGATAGCAACACGAAGCCGGACCTCGGACATGTGTTATGAACAACAGCGACGTGAACTGACCATCCCGTTTTAGCTCCGTGATCCATCGCGACTTCACGCAACTCACGTGGCAGGGCCACGTTCAAACGAGTGATCGGCACCTAAGCTGCTCTACCACAGCAGCAACTCTCCCTGATTCCAGCACGCACGTGCAAATGACTGAGGCCACAACAGCTCTGTCCAAGCCAACCCTTTGCGCACACATCCTGCAGCACAAAACGCAAACCAACAAAACTGGTGCAGAGCAAGCAGCGAATGGCCACGAGGCGCGCGCTGGTAGAATCTGATGATGAGAGACGTACATATTGGCCCACCCCTGAAGAGACAGACGGGACTGACCATGCTCGCAAATACATGTAGCTTCAAGCAAATCAGCAAGGAGTCACCAGCCTCAGCATCTCTGGTATCTCGCTCAGACGGCAACACCTTGGCAAGATATATATGGGAAAGAAAAGCCTTGAGAGGGATTATGCGCAATCTGGGACTCCGAAGCCCTCGACGGGGATGACGCCTGAGGTGGCGGAGGAGGTGGCGCTGGGATCGCCACACTCTTTGTCACCACCTTGCTGCTGAAACGGCCCACCATGATCTTCCCTCCGTGCAGATTCATGCGCACCATGTCCACTGGTCCGAATTCGTTCTGCAACACGCGGTCGCTCAGGGCGTTTGCCAATTTCTTGTAAAAGTACGCGGATTTCCACTGCACGCGTGTCAAGATCGGCAAGATGTGCTTTGGAGGCCCCCGGAACGTCCGTTGCAAAAAGCCTTACAAAGGGCATCCAGACGTCACGTCGGAGTTCGACAGAGTTTGTGAGGTTGTTTGCACAATACACAAAGATTCATGGGAGTTTTTGTTGTTATAGACGATAGAGTGGCGAACGATTGCGACGAAAGATTGCGCACATTCTTGTTCTGTCGTAATATGATGATGACGGTGACGACGATGATGATGACGATGATGATGATGATGATGATGATGATGATGATGACGACGGTGGTGGTGACGGTGATGGTGATGGCAACGACGCTTGTGAAATACATCCAAATAGCAATGCTAACCACCGCCACTAGGTTTTCGTTGGTTTTTCATGAGAAAAAACTATTTTTTTTACATTTTGGACGGATTTCCTGTAATTTCCCTTAGGTTTTCCTTGGTTTTTCCTAGGGGCAAACCTATTTTCCTTACATTTTTGGACAGATATCCTGTCATTTCCTTCGTTTCTTGGGCTTTGAAGCACGCTTGGCGCGGCTTAAAAGAAGCTGGGGGGCTTGGGGGGGGGGGGGGGGGGGCCCCCCCCCACTTGCTGGGGGGGGCGCAGCCCCTCCCCCCATTTGCAAACACAATGCTCACACGATGTTTTTTCAACTAGCTTCTTGGGCTTTGAAGCATGCAGCACGCTTGGTACGACTTAAAAGAAGCGGGGGGGGGGGGGGTTGTGGGAAAACACAGCCCCCCACCCCCCCCATTTGCAAACATCCTGCTCACATGACGGGTGTCAACAAGTTTCTTGGGCTTTGAAGCACGCTCTGCACGGCTTGAAAAAAAAACCGAGGTTTTCGTTGGTTTTTCCTAAGGAAACCCTCTTCTGATTACATTTTGGACGGATTTCGTCAAACGTCAAAGCGTACGTTGCTTTTCCTTAGTTTGTCCTAGGGAAAACCCTATTTGGTTCGTTTTCTTGGTTTCTATCATTCCCTCTATATTTTCATCGGATTCATACTTTTTTTTCAACTAGTTTCTCGGGCTTTGAAGCACGCTTGGTACGGCTTAAAAGAAGCGGGGGGTGTTGGGGGGGGACGCAGCCCCCCCCCCCATTTGCAAACACCCTGCTCACATGATGGGTGTCAACAAGTTTCTTGGGCTTTGAAGCACGCTCTGCACGGCTTAAAAAAAGCGGGGGGGTTGGGGGAGGCGCAGCCCCCCCTGCTCACATGATGGGTGTCAACAAGTTTCTTGGGCTTTGAAGCGCGCTCTGCACGGCTTAAAAAAAGCGGGGGGGTTGGGGGGGGGGGCGCCGCCCCCCCCCATTTGCAAACACAATGCTCACACATGTTTTTTTTTCAACTAGTTTCTTGGGCTTTGAAGCACGCTTGGTACGGCTTAACAGAAGCGGGGGGGGTTGGGGGGGGGCACAGCCCCCCCCCATTTGCAAACACCATGCTCACATGATGGGTGTCACTCGAACTCGAACTCGATTCCGCAGCGGTCTGGTCTGACCTACTAGCTAGCTGTAGCTCATGACATATGTCACGGCCGCTCTGTGGCGGCGGTTAACAGCTTCGGGTATGGACATGCAAGGCAACTGCACAGGAACCGAAGTTCAACAAGCTGTGCAGTACAGGGTCTCCAGCGCTCACAGTCGCTCAACCTAGCGTTCTCGCACTTACTAACTAGGGAGTAGACTGTGACAGCTCAGCTGAACAGTGAATGAATTGTCAAAACGAAGAAATGAAAAACACATCACGCCACTCTGCCTTGGGCAGGGGGCCGGAAACGGCAACCCCGAGACAAGTGCTGCGCAAGCCCTGTACACTGTACAACGTCAGGACTGAGCTACAAAATGGTCAGCTCAATGATGGATCTCACTCATGAAAAGCAGTCAGTTGAGGACCTCCATGGAGGGACGGACTCAGAGTCCACTAGAGCATCGAAATGCACTCCACAGGCCAATTTCAAGCGAAACGGAGTCCACAACAAGCCTCCATGCATACCGCCAACTATACTGGAATCACTGCTTTTGGGCAGCGTAGCCACCGCTGACAGACACATTGGCACATCGTTCTGTCGTCCTGCCCAAAGGGCAAGCTTTGCCAAAGCGGCAGCCTCCATGAGAGAAAGCTGGCAGAAGCACCCCACGAGGAAAGAGAACCATCAGAGCAATCCCAAGAATACCTCAGCGGCAGGTACACAGCGTAGGGGACCATCACGTTGAGGAAGCCCAATGCACCCACCAGACAAGAAAATAAAATAGCAGCAGCATATTGAATAGAAGGGCCGATAACACGGCGCCCCCGCCCGCAGGCCAGGTTGCCGTAAAGCCTGGCAATCGCAAGTGGCCAAGAAAAACCAAGCAAGTATGGGGTGAGTGTGTGGTACTGCTCCAGCACATGCATTGTACAAGCAAAGAACTGAGTCAAATATGGTCAGCTCAACGATGATCCAAACTCATAGGGCAGACAGTTGAGGACCTCCATGGAGAGTCTGGTACTACAGTGACTCGTCGCATCGCGCAAGTTGCCTCATTGCCCGAAAACTCGCCATGGGCCGACCCACGAAATCCCAGAAGGGCTAGGTGGGAAACAGGAACGAACTGTCCACAACGAATGTCGTCACATATCCTTCCAGCCGTTGCAACCGAAAGTGAAAGCACCATGAGGTGGGCCATCAGAGCAGTCCCAGACGACGCCTCAGCAAAAACGAATTCATCTGCATAGAGACAAACTGTAGCAGCACAATGTAGGGGCCGAAGACGGCGCCCTGCCCATAGGCCTGGTTGCCGTAAAGCCTGACAACCGCAAGTGGCCATACATTCATCCCAAAATGCCTGATTGCCGCAAAGCCTGGCAACCGTAAGTGGCAATGAATAGTCATACAACATGAAGAACAAAAGCAAATACGAAATAAATAAACCAAGCACTGAGCATAGGCGCGAGCTCGCTGGCAGTGAAAACACTGTACCTTGCAGTCCGCCCCGAAGCGTTGGTGCGTACATAATGCCTGGCCAGTATCTTCGCCCACACATGAAGCCCAGGTGATCACGAACCTGATTGGCTCCCGCTGCAGCACTGGAATCTGCAGCAACCCTCACTTCTACCAGCAATACATTTGGCCTGTCTTCAGTGGCCCATCCAATGCTGGTTGCCGGACTTGGGACCGGCACGGCTCGTAAAATAAAGAAGAGCGGACCTGCAGTGATGATGCTTGAAGGTGTCACTCGTGTATCTCCCAACCGTGGGGCTAACTGCGTTTGCGCAACCAGCTCATCAGGTGGCAAAGGCGTCTCCAAAAACATCCAGTAGCAGAATGCCATGCAAATACCATACCAGATCCATGAAGGCCAGTGAGTGCACCGAGGACAACCTGAATGCACGGGTCTCAGACATATCGCCATCTTCATTGCATCTGTGAATGGGTGCCGAAGTGCGGCTTCCCAGGCTCAGTATTGAGACACCATGTGCAAAGGCAAGAACTACAGCGTCCGGAAGGGGGTCCAGTTGAACAGAGAACCTGTTAGGCCTCGAACCCGGTTGACCCCCTACCAAAAAAACATGTGATCCGAGCCGAGAAGCTTATGATGGGTGTCAACAAATTTCTTGGGCTTTGAAGCACGCTCTGCACGGCTTAAAAAAAGCGGGGGGCGCAGCCCCCCCCCCCCCATTTGCAACACAATGCTCACACGATATTTTTCAACTAGTTTCTTGGGCTTTGAAGCACGCTTGGTACGGCTTAAAAGAAGCGGGGGGGTTGGGGGGGGGGACGCAGCCCCCCCCCCATTTGCAAACACCCTGCTCACATGATGGGTGTCAACAAGTTTCTTGGGCTTTGAAGCACGCTCTGCACGGCTTAAAAACAAGCGGGGGGGTTGGGGGGGGGGGGCGCAGCCCCCCCCATTTGCAAACACAATGCTCACACGATGTTTTTCAACAAGTTTCTTGGGCTTCGAAGCACGCTTCCTTTCTTCCTTCCTTGCTTCCTTCCTTTCTTCCTTCCTTTCTTCCTTCCTTGCTTCCTTCCTTTCTTCCTTCCCTCCTTTCTTCCTTCCTTCTTTCCTTCCTTGTTTTCTTCCTTTCTTTCATCCTTCCTTCCTTCCTTTCTTTCCTTCTTTCCTTCTAAAACCTACTAGAAATAACGCTTTCCTATGAAACCACAGAGAAATTACTGTTGTCCGTACGAAAAACCACGAAAATGCATCAAATCCTTAAAAATATAGAGGGAATGGTGGTTTTCTTAGGAAAAACCAAGAAAAAAAGGCCACCCCCCCAAAAAAAAGACCCCAAAAAATAGCCCCTCCGTTTTTTTATGTCCGTGACATGCTAGTAGGATTCCTTTAGGACTCCGCCCAGAACCTCATCAAAAAAACGCTTGTTTGACAAACGAGGCAGCAAAATAGATAAACACAGCTTGTTTGACACGCTGACTGCGAAGACCCTAAACCCTAAGATTCCCTTCGGGTGATTTTGTTTTTGGCGGCACTGGGTTTAAAGTCTAAGGTATAGGGTTGAGGGACCCTCCAAACCCTCGGAAAGAGGAGAGACATCGCGAAACTGGAGCCTATGGACCCTCCATACCCTCGGAAAGAAGGGAGAGAAATCGCGAAACTGGAGCCTATGGACCCTCCAGACCCTCGAAGAGAAGGGAGAGAAATCGCGGAACTGGAGCCTATGGACCCTCCAGACCCTCGGAGAGAAGGGAGAGAAATCGCGGAACTGGAGCCTATGGACCCTCCAGACCTTCGGGCGAACTCCCAGCATGCCTTTAGGGAAACATGGACATGCGGCTTGCAGAGCCATTCATGCTCAGGATGCTCACGACACACGATGCTCACAGGGCAGGATGCTCATGATGCTGTTGCTTGCTGCTGTCGAGAAAAATGCCTCCAAATTTTCAGCGATAGATGTGTCAAAAAAACTGAACTCCACAACCAAGCAATGCACAACCAGACAATGCACAACGACTCGTGTACGACGTCGTTCCGGCTTTTCGCGCGGGAAGGGGGACATGGGAGGGTCGAACTCCCAGCATGCCCCTGGGAAAAAATGGACATGTGGCTTGCAGAGCACTTCATGCCCATGATGCTCATGAGGCATCCAACACCAAGGGAGACAAAGGGAGATAACGGGAGACAAGTGAAGTCACCGGCCACCGCCATCCCGGCACAGGCATCTAACACGAAGGGACACAAAGGGAGACAAGCAGAGACACCGACCACCGCAAACCCAGCACAGGCATCCAGCATCAAGGGAGACAAAGGGAAACAACGGGAGACAAGTGGAGGCACCGGCCGTCGCCAACCCGGCACAGGCATCCAACACCAAGGGAGACAAGCAGGAGACAGGCCGAACCGCACATTCCATTGTTGCTGTAATCTGCTACGTAGTTGCTATAGATAGGCTTTTGGTCTCGATGATTGCGGCTTTTTGGCAGGGACTCCCGGAGCTTTGAGACTTCTTTCCGAACACAGCAAAGACAGTAGACTGCAAAAGGTGCGCGCAATGTCATGATGCTTGTAATTATGAGTTTTTGCATTTTCTATTCCTTGATGCATTTGTCTTGTATGCGTCTTTGGTTCTACTGTTTCTCTCGTTCTGTCGCTCTTTCCCTCCAGCCTTACCCTTGGGAAATTAGCTTCCCCCTCTCCAGAAGAAAAAATCCAATCCACGTTGAAAGGCCTTTATGCCTCAGAGAGTAGAGAGGACACTCGGTGGCACTGGAGCTCCTCCAAGGACAGCATGGCAGGAGACAGGCCGAACCGCACATTCCACTGTTGCTGTAATTTGCTACATACTTGCTATTAAGATAGGCTTTTGGTCTCGATGATTGCGGCTTTTTGGCAGGGACTCCCGGAGCTTTGAGACTTCTTTCCGAACACAGCAAAGACAGCAGACTGCAAAAGGTGCTCGCAATCGTCATGTCAGACTCACGTGACTGACTTGAGCCGCCGTGAAGGCCCATGGACAGAAGAGATCGTAACCAATGAGCTTGGAGATCCTCCAAAAACTTCTTGAAAGCCTAGAAACCTTCGCAACCTGCACACAAAGCCACCGAATTGACGCTTGCAAGGTGTGAAAGTGTACCAGCTAAAGGCCTCAGAGAAAGGGTCCTACATGGTTGTTGCGTGCAAGGAACATTCTGAGGGCCTCAAGCTCCCTATGTCACTACGTGACTGAATGTCGGTGTGTGCCCAAGCTCTGATGGCGAGCCCGCAAACCCACGGCAGTAGCATGCTCTGCAGGCTAAGGGGCTAACTGCACAGTGATGCCAAAGAGCACCCGGGCTCAAGGGATTCGTGCATTCAACGGTTCAAAGGGGGGTTCAAGACGAGAGTGGCCCCTCGCTGCATGGCGCACTTTTGTTTCGCAGTTGCCAGGCTGTACAGCAGCTGTCTACTTGCCTCTGGACCCGCTGCGTCATCTGGACCTTCGTGGTTTGAGGGGCCCATGGGCGCATGGAATGAATCTACCCATTCTATGGCACGTGCACGCTCTCGGGCCCACACCGCTCAGCCCTCACCGAAGAGCCCCCAGTCCACGATGCGGAAAGAGCTCAAGAGCACTCTAAACACGTCCTGTGGAGGACATTGGGGCTCGGCTGTTGCAGTGCAAAGTCCAACAGGTCTCTGATGCCTCGGCCGCCTGAGTCGGCGTCGGAGCCTGAGCGCTGCTGCTCTCCGGATCCAGGTGCACCTCCGATTTCATCCAGTTCTTAGGAGATTTCTAAAGCCAGGGATCAAGGTGCCCTAACTCCTTCCCCGCAGGAAAAGCCTTGAGGTCACATGAACCCTGGCAGTTGTGCGCAGTCCGAGGGTCGAGCCATGCACACAAGACTACAAGTATCTGCGCATTTGCAAATGCCACACAAGTGCCATGGAACTGCGCCCAATTTCTGAACCTCAAGTCCTGTCCTAGTTTTCGCCAGGGCACCGGATCGTTCAAGGTGATGAGGATGTCCTTCGTAGCAAGTGCTGCTTCGAGCTGCGAGTCGGCTGGAAGTCGCATTTTGCAAGGAAAGGCGCGTTTCGTAGTGGCGTAATCACAGGAAGCATCTGTTACATCCTCTACTCTGCCCAGCCGCAAAAAGCCAGAAGAACATGCGAGGCAGAATCTGAAAGCGCTCAGGACAGAGTCTTAACGTGTAGATTGGAGCGGGTCAGGGGCTGAGAGCGTCTGCGACACGGAGAGCAGCGAAAGTGGCAGAGACCGGGTGCCGGACCGTCGAAACCTCGGGCAGTCGGATGGCCGCAGCGTAGATCCGAACGCGGTTCCCACGGTCCTTTCCAAGGATCGGGGGCCCAAAAAGCCTTGATTTCGGGGCTCAGGCTTAGGGGCTTCCATTCGGGCAGTCTTGGTGTCGTGTGCCACGCTCTTCTCAAGGACAGCTCACACTGTGTCCAGTGTCCTGGCAAAGTTCGGGCGGTGTCACCCCCCCAAACAAATGAGGAGTCCTCTGCTTTGTATGTTCCACACCTGAGCCTCCGCAAACCCACCTGTCAATAAGAAGAACGAGCATAACTGCCCTCCGTATCTCTCCGCATCTCTCCGTCTTGAGCTCTCCTCGCGGAACTTGGCCACGGTCTGCTCGCCCACTCCCGCCAGGCACCGGGCAGCAGAAGGCAAGTGCGGCACCTCGAGGATGGAGACTTTGGAACTTCGGGAGATGAGAGAACTTGGGAGGTGAGTTGGGCTGAAGTTCGGAGCTGAAGTCGAGAGGCAAGAGTTTCTGGTTCTGATCTCTCAGCTGGTTTAAGAGTTGTTGGAGGGTTCAGGATCTAGGGCATTGCCGTGGAGTGCTTCAGACTAGATGCAGTCACACGACGGAAGCATGTTGAACATCCCGGTCTACCCTGGAAATCCTGGCATGGCGACGTGAGCTCCCACAAACCCCTTGCCACAGATGTGGCCTCCCCTGCGGGGACGCTGTGGCTCTCCAGGACCACGGCATCCTGACACTTATCTAGCTTGTCTACTGCGCGTAATCTGCCGGTTTTGCAGCTTGACACGTCACAGTCCTGGGCCTCGTTGGAGGTGGCTAGATCGGACCTGAGACCGCAGCGCCCTTGAACCCGAAACTACGCCAGAACAGATCCCAAACGGTGAAGCCCATGAGACCATGAGACAAAAACCACTCGCCACAGCCCATGCTCGATCATTTGGATGAAGGACACCTTTTTGGAGGAGCATGCTGCCGTAGGAGGACGACTTCGATTCAAAACGGATTACGGAACTTTGGAGCGTGAGCGTGAGACCGTGACGGGATCACGAACCAGGCCCAAAAGCACCATGTCGAACAAGTCGAGCGACACCGCGAACTGCAAATTCCTTATAGAGTAAATTTAAATGCAAAGGACCTAAAGCACATCCCTGCCGCGTTTTCCGTGCGCTCGCCCGAGACCCGCCATGTCTATGAAATCTGGACAGCATCGTCTACATCCTCAAGCTTGCGTCGTCCAACTTGCCAATCGCACTCCTGGCCTGGGGTCCCGCATGGCCACATCCTCGTTCTGTGTTCCACATCGCGCTCCCGCCAGAGTCGCGTGCGCATGATGAAGATCCTAAATGTGCGCCGCGCGCCAGGCATGCACTACAAAGCGTGCAAAACAAATGCGACAACATGAAAATACAAATTCAAATCATCGTTGCTCTAGTAAGAGCTGAGTTTAGGGTTTAGTCATGACGAAATTTATTTGGCACGAAGTACGAGTTTCCAAAACTATTTTACTCAAAAAACCATTGCCGGTTCTCAATTGGACGACTTGCATACACGCGCAGCTTCCTAATCATGCGCGCGCTTAATGAACACAAGAAACGAAATCAAGAAACGAAGGAGACAGAATTTAGATGAAATCTCCAGCCACACGTGTCAGGTCTCAAGAGCGTGACCTCAAAGCCTTAACTGAAAACTCGACCCATGATGTTTGAAAAGGCGCTCTTTCGAGACCTCTTCTCACAGTTGGGGAGCGACCGCACCATGCACGATACGTGAGAGCTGGGTTCAAGGCAAGAAGAAGTCGATAGCCTCATGCTGCATTGACATGCTGCGAAAGCCATGATTCAGGTCTTCAGTCTAGATGAACGAGAATCAGTGAGAGAGGGGGTCGGCAGTTTGGCAGAAAGGTGCACTATGGCAGTAGCTACTGTACCGACTAGCCTCTTCTCTGGGAGCACAGCCTACGATGATGGGCTTTTGGGCGAAAAAGCTGGAGATTGCCTCATGCGTCCTGCTTAAGATACGGGACTTTATAGGGCCCGCTCTTCTTTGCCACCAAGATCATTGCATAGCTGGGACTGGTGGGTCCTGGTAGGTACCGGAGAAGTAGACTGCGTTGGGAATATGCGAGATATGCATGACATTAAAATAAGGCAAACCGAGAATTCAGCCCTGTGCCCAGCACCCCGACCTTAAACAGACCCGTGAAATCCCACAGGCCTGGCCGTCAGGGACCTCCTTCGGGGGGGTGCGTGCTGTGGGTACCCCGTTTTAAGGTGCTGGACCGCATACAAACACTGACTGTAGCTATGCATTGGCTGTAGAAGCCGACGATGTGTGGCCAAAGTGCAACTCTCTCAAGGCACGCGGACACGTCTAGTCGGCTCCAGGCATGCATAAAGACTGTCGCTGGAGTGCTGAAAGATTGACTCCAGCAGCCTGACAACGCCATTCAATTTGCCTACTTGCAGCTTACTTGAAAAAGCTTGGTCCCTGACCTCTTCGGGCTTGGCTTGCGTATTTGGCAGTATTTCGAGTGTGGACATGAAATTGCAGTCCACTGCCGTCCTTCTGCTCCAGGATCTCGATCATCACGCTCCTGCAGCGCTCATGAAACCGAAAAAGATTTGAAACCCCCACATCGCACGAGCCAGGCATGTGGTGGTGAGGTACTCAATTCTTCATTGGGCAATGGACGACATGTTCCCCCTAAAGTCCTGTCCGAGCTGGTGTCGACCCAAACCTCCTGGTGGTCAGGTACCTGATCAGAAAGGACCGGACCACGGTGCGAGGCTATGAGGAAGGTTTCAGGTGCAGTGTTTGACACGGCGTGGGGTTGCCACGTTCGATCATCCAGCAGACAATCCGAGATTGACAAAGTCCCGATGTCGGCTTGAGATGTTCACGCATGCCTGTGGCTGTGTCTATTGTGCACAGCTTGCCTCTCTTCTCAGGAAAGGCACCCAACCGACCCTAAACGATGATCGACCCCTTCCCCAACCTGTCGGAAGACACTGGAGTCGGTCATTGTCCTCAAGAATCATCAGGCTCATGTGTTGTGTTACTCCATGCTCGGTTTTCAAGCTCTTACATCGAAGCTTCGAGCCTGGGCGGTTAGCACTACATACTAAGGACAAAAGCAGGCCCACCAAAAGCCAACACTTTTTGTGCTACCTAGGATTTGGAGCTTCATGTTGCGATCCTTCGACTCAACGTCGGCGGGTGTGATACAGCTTCGCTTAGGTTGCCAAGATTGACGTTGCAAAGGGTCTGCAAGTGGGGCTTCCCCATGGGCAGAAATTGGCAGCACAACGTTCTGCAAGGAGACCTCGTTCACCACCTCCTTCTGCCATCTGTTCAGTTTCTTAGTTCGCTCATGACCCGTGACCTACATCCCTGAACCCAACATGAGAGAAATCCTGCAAAGTTCCACTGTAACCTACAGTTACCCCCAAACCTGCTAGACCCTCCAACCCCAAGCCTTTATTCGGCGCCTCGGCAGCTCGCACACCATCGCCCCGCCGTAGAGCGGCACCTCTGGCGCAACGAAGCTCTGGTCAGGTGGGCGGTGTGAACCGTCAGCAAAACCATGGGCGCTAAAAATCACGTACTTCAGCAAAGCTTCGAGTCACTTTCAACCAGCAAATTGACTTGCTTCCATGTTTGCTGAGCCTCCTTAGAGCTTAGGATTCGAACTCAAGGGGGAGAGGGCCTAGTGCCTGGGGCATTAACGTACAGGGCTTCGTGGCAACGCTCGTCTGGGTCCAGCTGATATGACAATTTGCAACAGCAAGTTGCAAGGTGAACTGACTTCTTTGTAGGCTGGGCCATGGCTTAACCAGTTTGTCTCCAAAACAGATTGGCTTCCCTTGGCTGGCCTCGTGGCCACCTGCCATGACGCCGAGGCACAAAGAAACTGGGACCGCGGGCCTAACTGGCCTAAGAACCCAATAGTCGCTGGCAAGCGATTTCGGTGGAATTCAGTTGCGATCATGTTGGATCCAGCTTCTACATTCGGTCCTTTTCATGTGGCTGCAGTGCAATACAAGTGATAAGGTCAAGAAGCCCCGCTTCCACAAAAACATGTTCAAGGAGCCACGCCACACGATCCATAAAGAGCACGTAGCCTTGCAGCCAGCTGGAGGCTACGGTTGCTACAAGCCGCTGGAGGAGTCATCACGAGCATCACTTCTTTCGCACCCGCCATGGACCATGACACAAGGAGCCTTTGGCTGCCACCTGCTTAGGGTCCGAAACTTCAGAAGCAGTGAAACTGTGAAATGTCGTGAAATTCGCCTGTGCCAGGCGAGGGTTTGGGCAGGAGGGGGGGGGGGGAAGGGCTGCAATGAAGTTCTTGCAGTTTGAGGGCTGTGGTTAAAGCTTCAGGGCATTATGTTTTCCCAAGATCTTGTCCGGGTATCAGCCCGCAAGGTTGAGGGATGGGGTCCTATCTACAAAGCTCCGGGTCGCTTTGTACACCAATTGAATTCGCGTCACCGCCGGCTAGGCCGCGAGTACACAGATGCCCCCTGGGCAGTCAGAGAGGGCTCTACAAGAGAGGTCTTGTGAAGGGGTAGCGATAACGATAACGCCTGTTCACTAGGCTGTTCACGAACTTTCGGCTCCGGCGGCCAGGAGCAGAACAAGCAGCTGCACATCTAAGGAAAGGGCTTCCGACATGCCTCAGGGTTGCTGATCGCTATCTAGAAATAAGCCGCAGTACCTTCCAGACCCTGACCCTGCCAATCTCAAGTACTCCCAAGGACCCCGACAGGCCTAGAGCCTAAACGCTTCCCCTCTAAGATGCCCCAAGATGCCCCCAAGATGCCCCAAGATGCCCCAAGATGCCCGAGGGCGGCACCGGGCTCCCAGGGACTGCGGGTGCTGGTGGGGCGGCGGGCGTTGGATTCCTCCCCCAGGAAGGTTTCGAGGTTCACCAAAGGAGTCGGGTATGTCGGGCACAGCAGGAACGGTGAACATCCTGACATTCTTACCTTGGGGTCTTTGAATGAGGCGGGCACAATCATCGATCGTCGGCAAGATTGTGGCACATAATTACGCATGCATGCGCCTTCCGAAGCCGACTGATGCGTAGCAAGCGAAGTAGATGACGCCAGGTGAATAGGACGACATTCAGGTAGCCACAATTCGTCACACAAAAATCTTCCCTGCGCAACCATTCAAACTGGCTAGTTCATGTGTTTCTGAGCTTCCGGACCTTTCACCTTACACACTGACCTCTTGGAGGATCGAGGAGAAGGGTTGAGGCTTCGGCCGCTAAGGGGATCAAGCAAGCTTACCCGTCGTCCTCACGACCGTCGCGGACTCAGATCGCCTGTGCCACAACATGGCCCCGCGCTGACCGGCTGTGAGCTGGCTCTGGATGCGACAGGGCTCCATGTCCACAATTGGACAAACTTGCGGTCTGCTCTGTCTGCCATCACGGAAGGACTGTAAGCTAAAAGGGTCTCTTAGCGCTGAGGCTCGGCCTCAACGATCTTTGGGAGCTGGTGGCACTCCGCACCTCGGCCAGAGGTTCTCCGACAAACTTGAAACGCTCCAAACCTCACAGTTTTTGATGGCCTGGCTTGTGTCACATCATCAGCCCTCACGTGCCACTCAATAAGACTATGATTAGGCCGCTTTCAGGGTTCGTTAAGATTTGGTGTTTCGTGTCCGGGGTAGGGTTTGCCACTCAATCGTTCTGGCGCTTTCGGCTGCCAAGCGATGCGCAATCATCATCTGCTACGCTGCCAAGCGATGGTTCAAGCGATCCCTTTCTCGCAGAGGTGGAATCTGAGGTTCGAAAGGTCCACCCTTCACCGAGAAAGCGTCGGGCGAAGGAGATCTACGCTAGAGTCGAGAGGGCAGGGCCGTGCCGACAGAAACTAAGATGAAGTCAAGCTCCTTAGCGTGACGACAGCCCGGTTCCTTAAGGCACCCTGTCAGTCTGCTGCCCCAGGGGCCGAAGGTGCCGGCGTCGCCCGCAGGCGCGGGGCACCTGGGCGCGCGAGATACTGCGTTTTTTAGGGCTTTGGGATCGAGGGCCAAAGAGTCCAGAGCCTTAGGGTTTAGGGTTTAGGGTGTAGGGTTTAGGGTTTAGGGGCTCAGTCAAGCAGTCAAACGCATGACCCTTCCTGGGTGAGATGCTCGGAAGTTACAGTCAAGCAAAGGAGGAGCGATTCCATCACTGGCTTGAGTGATTGAATTGCGCCGCATGCGCACGACGACCGCCAACCGTGTGCGACAGCCATTGTGAAGGGAACCCTAAATATTGATATCTGAACCTGTTTTGAAGTTGAATATGCCGTCATATTGCGAGATTGCTACTTGCATCTATATACACATAGTAAGATATAGAGAAAGATTAGCTGGAAGAATGGAAGGATCATGTGGATGTGGAATAGGGGATTGAATAAGAAGGATTGATGTTCAGATGAAAGCCATTATATGACATCATGACTGCTAGAGTCTGGCTGGTAGGATACCCCGGCACGCCGCAACTGCGAAGCTGCAGCGGCACCATCGGCCACTTCAAACTGCTGCTGGACTTGGTGGCTTCTGCTCGGGGGCCTAGGGGGTTGAAGGTGTTTAAGGTTGGTTAGGCTCTTAGGTTTTGTTGGAGGCTTCGCCCGGCTCTGTCACAGTTCGTGGGGCGCTGAAGATAGCTCAATGTGACTTAGGCCGGGGACGTGCTTGGTGCTGTCGTAGAGGTTGACGTCCAGCAGCAAGGTTAGAAGGCACGGCTAGCGTAGGGGAGTTTTGAGAGGTGCGGTAGCAAATGCTAAAGGCCTGCTCCATCAGCATGTACAGAGCTTCAGGTTTAGTTCGGTCCTGTGTGCAAAGGGTCCAGGAGTCCGGCGGTTGGGGTACTTCAAACACACGCAAGCACATGTAAACACGTCTTTACACATGCAAACATGTGTAAACACTGCTGTAGAGACTGAGTACTCTAAGCCATGCACTTTGGTGGCCCTCGTGTCTGCTTCCTCTGCTTCCAGCCTGTCAGGGTCTGAGGTTTCGAGGGGCACTCCATGGTTCAACGGTTCAGCAGTGGACTGATGCTCGCTCAGGCACATCAAAACCCGCAGCCCAGCCTTGGACAGGCTGGAAGGCGGGCGAATCGTCCGCACCTGGTCAAGTTTCGAGGATCCCCGAAGCTGGGGGCAGGATGGTGCCGCCGCAGGCTTGGGAGCTTTGTTGCGCAAATGGCAAAAAAGATGTCAAGATGGCCAGTCCTATGCTGCAGGAGAGAACTCAAGTGCCTGGTCCATGTCTCGGGTCGGCATCGTCGTGTAGGCCAACGTTTCGCCAGGCTGCGGCTGCCTGCGAGCGATGCGGGCTTGGAGAATCGGAGTCGGCGCAGTCGGCGCAGTGATTGAGGGCATCTTCGCAGGATCGCATGCGGCATCAAGGAAGAGATCTATACAGTTAGACTCACTTGGATTCAGTTAGGTCCGGAATGACGTGTCCCTTACACGTGCGGGGCCTCTAATGGGCTCCGAACAATCCAAGCGAAAAGCCCTGCGCTCTGAAGCAGCCCTTCTTCACCGTCTTCGCCGCGCAGCGCTGCGCGTCCTGTGCCCTCGATGGGAGTTCCGGGAGGGGGGAGGACTAGAGTGACTAGCCCTCGGCTTCATCGGCGGGCGCCCGCGTGGCCACCAGGAGGTAGCCCTGACGATGAGACTGGGAAACTCACACCGCCAAGGGATGATGGTTCGGGCTTTGGCTTAGACTTCGGGATGCGTGAGCTTCAAGCACTCTTCATGTTTATGGGTCTTTCAAAAGCAGGCGGCCTTTCTAGAGAAGCTATGTGTTCAAACAACATGTTCAGCTGCGGTTGGCATGGTTGGCGGACCGTGTGGGACCGCATTGCCATCTGGTAGCTCAGCCACTGGCTGCCAGGATCCGGACCTCAAAAAACATCCAAAAAGACAGCTGGGGGAACACGTCGAAGGCGGGCAGAAGTGGAAAGGCATGGGCAGAAAAACTGTTTCTACAACACCTGCAGTAGCTCGAAATTCGAGGGCCTACCAGTCTTCTGGGTGTCCACGCTGTTTCTCACAGCCGCACTGGTCTCTGGCGGCCTGCGCAGCGACAAAAGGAGCATGAGACCACAGCACAAAGGCGTTCTGCTGTGCTCGTACTGTTCACTCACCGCTTGCTATGTCTTGGATTCCAACTTGAGGCCCTCCATGCGAGACATGAGCAACGCCGGCCTCGAAGACTCGTCGGCCTCCTGAAAACAAGCACCAGGTGTTGGGGGACAGGTATCGGACTGGCTTTGACCTGGCCTGCCTGACCCCTGATTTCTGGAATCAGCCCAGCCGCAGACCCACCCTGCACCTTGGTAGTTATCAGATGCTACCGGCACAGCTCTCCTGCGTCTGGAGGCGCCGCTTCTTCGACTTAGCCTCCCAGCGGGGACTCAAGGAATACGCAGAACATGCGTGAACTTCCAGAAAGAACCTACGGATTCTATCTGTCGGAACTTGGGCTTTCCTCTTATCGCACATCCGAGTGTCTTGAAACTTGGAGGCAGAGGCTTAGCGCCGTAGGGCCCACCTCCACGGCGCGCACGCCCCAGTTCACTGCCAGGGTCTCCAGCCTGCAACTCCATATCCGTGAGTTTCCATTTCCACCTAGTTCCGCACTTCACTCGCGCTAGTCGGAGCTGCAGGCTGGCAGGTCCTGCTATGTCATGCTAAGCAGCGGCAAGAGAAACGATCTGCAGGAAGTAGCACATGATGACACTGCAGACCAGGAGCATCCGGACGTCGAAGAAGCGGCCACCCCTTCGGAGCTCGGTGGCCGTCTTGTCCACCTCCCCGCGGCTCTGAATTTACAGAGTTTAGAAACATGTGAAGCACCTTAACAGGGCAGCGCATAGCGTGTGGGATGCTGATTGTTCCCTTAAGGGTTTGACGTTCTGCCTCAAGCCTTCTGCATCATAGTGCGTCTGCAAGCTTCGACCCAGCCTGTTCCACGCAGGGTGAGAAGGTCACCTGTTGGCAGCTGCAGGAAATGCACCCCTCTTCAAAGGTGCAATACCAAGCACCCCTCTTCAAAGGTGCAATACCAAGCGTAGCATCATGGATCGGCGGCTGGCAGACCATCGAATGTCCATAAGATGCCAAGCGGAAGCTACGAGCAATTACGAGTAGTTTTGTTCCGCTTCTTGCCGGGCGGCTAGGCGGCCACCCGGCACGAGGGCATCGAGGACATGCCCCACGGCGGCCCAGGGAGCGGGAAGATCCTTGGACAGCTTTCCCGGGGAGTCGGGAGTTAGGGCGTTAGGGAGTCCTGGGCCCTAGGGCCCTAGGGCTTGTGACGGTCCCCCCTTGCCTTGAAGATTGAGATGCTTGGGAAATGCTTGGCGCACGGCCAAGAAGATTCCGTGAACTGCCTCGCTGCGGGGCCAACATCACACAGGCTGATTACATGAGTGAATGTCCAACCGCGTTCTTGTCATGAACATGCCCTTCATGAAAAGAAAGCACGACGCACTACTCGCTACTCCCCACTGGACCCAGCATGACTCAGTTTCACTATGCTAGTGTGCTCCGAGCCCAGAACTCCGCGCAGGTCCTCGCCGAACCCATCGTTGCCTTAGAGTCTTAGAGCAGGCAGAGCAAAGTCATCAAGATTTCCTTGTGCCGTAGGGCCGTAGGGCCACAGGCATGTTTGTTGGCTACTCTTCCAGTACAAAGTCTTTGCTGCAACCGACGATGATGAATCACGTCCAATGCCTCATAATCTCATGCGTACAACTCTGCACTTGACACCACGAAAGAAAGCGTGAAGACACTGAAAACCATGAGGGCGGTACAGACATCCCTGTGGCGCGAGACGATGACATCGGCAAAGCCATACTTCTCGAAGTCGGCAGCTGCTTGCCGCTGTCGGTCCTCAAGAGCTTTACCACGTGTCTCCGCGGGAACTGTGCAAGCAAAGAAATATTCACACCAACGAAACACCCGTCATCTGACGATTCAATGGCGATGCTTTGGCCTTCGGGCCGCTGGCATCACCATGAGGTCCATGGTTCCTAAGCCCGCTCAAGGCAGTCCTCGTGGAACTCGAAGGTGTGCAGCTTCCTCATGGTCCATGCTCAGAGAGGCTGCCATGATTCTCGGGAAGCGAACCAAAAAGACCCTGCAAATGGAACCCCGGATGCCCTGCGAGCTCGCAACCTCCAGCATCCAGCAACTGCAAATGCGACTGCTAAGGCCCGTGCCCCGTAGGGCGCAGTGCCCGGGCCAGGCTCGAAGACACGGAGCCTGAGCCAGTGCCGGCCTCCGGAGTGCAAGTAGAGTAGAGTATCGGGCTCGAACCAGGTGAGGGTTACGATTGAGGTACATGAAGTCAGTTGGGTAAACGAGCAAGGCTCCTCTCCGAGTGGAAAAAGGTCCAAAAGCAGGACCAAAGCTTGCTAAAGCACCCACAAGCACCCTAAAACACTGCACCGGCAGCCTCACAAATCACCCGGCCGGGCCGCGCGTCCAAGAGGCAACGCAACCTGCTCCGACTCGGATGTGGGAGATCTTTGAACCGAATGAATCCCCAGAAGCTTACCTGCTATGGTGGTCTGGGTCAACCCTACCACCTACTTTTCCAATCTCCTTCGACCTTTTGGGGCTGAGCAGGGTGGACGTTCATTTCAGGGGAACTGGCCGCGTCACGATCACATGGGCTGAAGGCCCGGCGCAGCATACTGACTTGTTTAGATGTTTTCCACACTCGCTCATGACTGGCATGCTTGCATGTTGATATCTTCATGTGCATTCAGGTACCCGAAGCTCCACCCAAACGCCCTTGCAGAAGTGGGCTTAGATCAACCTAGCTCATCCTTAACTCTGCAAAGGAACATCGAAATGTCCGCGTGGTACACAATCTGCCTGGCGCATGCCGCTTGAGGATTTGAAAATAGAAAAGGAGCAGTCAGCCAAAAAGTCAGCAGGGAGATCACCTCTACACACACACAAGGAATGCTCTGCGCATTTGCTGCTCTACGAAGCGCCCGTAGCTCCAGCAAATTCCCGCATGAAACTAGTCACTAAATCGAAAGTTGTCTCACGAGTATCGGCCGAAGCTGCGCACTCCCAAGCTTCACAAACCCATGAAACCCAAACGTCCCTAAAGCCGCAATCGAAACTGCGCCGGCTCAACGTGCGGTGCGTGAGGCTCTGGGTGATGAACTCCGGGGTGGGCCGGAGCAGCGCCAGCCAGAGCCCACCTGTCGGTCGCTATGAGTGCCCCTTCAACTAACATTTTCACCTCAGTGAATCCTGCCAGCAGGTTGCAGGGGAGTTTCAGAACGGCTGCGAAACTGATTTGTATTGTTTTTGTTTTGTCACGTTTTGGACAACTCTTTTTGCAGGTGGAATATCAAAATTTAGAAAACATAAAAGGATCAAACAAATCAAAAGGATCAGAATCAAATTACCAGCAAGAGGATCTTGTGCACATCCTAGTAAGTTTGGTCACATCGTGCCGATCAAGAAATAGTGCAGGATCAGAACAAACTGCAGTCAAAATCCGGACATCAAAAAGGCTGCACATGCTGCAACCACAGGCTCCAGATGTTGTAAACTGCGGCATCTCTGACTGTTCACAAGTCCAATGGTGCATCAGCGGCTCCAAACGCTGCCAACTACAGCATTTCTGGCTCCAAACGCTATGAATGAAAGCATTCTTGCTTGTTCATCGACTCCAAATCTTTTCAATTACAGCATTTGTTGATCGTTAATCCATTCCAGATGCTGTAAGCTTCAGCATTTTAATCGGATTGCTCGCATTTGCAAGGCATAGAATTTCCGAAGCTGTTGAAGTGCAGCCCCCCGCATTTGCAAACGCAATGCTCGTATGATGGGCTTGGAAGAGATTCATATTGCTTTGAGGGAATGTCTACTGATCGCAAATCCTTTGACGGGAGGGTCACAGCGTTTGGAAAGGATTCATATGGCTGGGGGGGCGGGGGGGGGGGGGGCGCAGCCCCCCCCCCCCCCCCCCGCTCCCCTCCCCGTTCCAACAGTTTTGCACTTGATAGATGTTAGTCTATTTAACTCTCGGCTTATATTTCACTGCAAAGCTCTCCTTCGCTTCGCCATACTTTCACTAGCTCAACAAAAAGCTGTCCATTTCTCTAAGGCATAACAAGCAGGGGGTTGATCAAGGGCCCCCTCCCTCATTTGCAAACAACTACACGTATGACCGCTTCAGGATTCACATGCTTTTTGAAGCAGCCACTCCTTGATGGCATGATGCACTTTAGAGCAGTCTTCTAAACACTCAAACAGAATGCTCGCATGACGGATTTGGAAAGACTCATATGGTGCGACTCCTCTTCTAGAGCAAGCTTCCACGGCTTCTTGAAGCGAGGGCGCAGCCTTCCTCCATCTGCAAGCACAATGCTTGCATGACGAGTTTCGACAGGATTCGCATGTTTGTTGAAGCAAGTTCTCTTGATTGCATGATGTTTCTTAAAGCAAGCTCGCATGGTTTTAAAAGAAGCGGTGCGGCTGCGGAAGGGGCGGGGGAAGTGGGAGAGGCGCAGCCCCCCCCCCCCCCGCCCCACCAAGCAACTAGCAATTCCGGATGATGCCATAAACTCGTTAGTCTTGAACCCTAAGAATACTAATCCTCTATTGGAAAAGTTGTTTCGCACATTTTCTTGTCAATATTGATATGCAGTGAGACTTACCAATGATGTATTCGGTGGTTTGCATTTGTTGTTGGTTTTGAGACCTTCAATTGTTCGGGCCCCGCCCCCCCCACCTGCCCCACCCACCCCATTTATAAAGACAACGCTATGTCGTGTTTCTTTGTGTTTGGTTTTCTTTCGCTCCGTCTTTCTGCATGTCTTTCTGTATTGCCTCTCGTTCTGTCCTTCATTCGTTCTGTCGGTCCTTCTGTCCTTCTGTCCTTCTGTCCTTCTGTCCTTCTGTCCTTCTGTCCTTCTGTCCTTCTGTCCTTCTGTCCTTCTGTCCTTCTGTCCTTCTGTCCTTCTGTCCTTCTGTCCTTCTGTCCTTCTGTCCTTCTGTCCTGTCCTTCTGTCCTTCTGTCCTTCTGTCCTTCTGTCCTTCTGTCCTTCTGTCCTTCTGTCCTTCTGTCCTTCTGTCCTTCTGTCCTTCTGTCCTTCTGTCCCTGTCCTGTCCCTCTGTCCTTCTTCTCTGTCGTTTTGTCTTTTCGTCGCTAGTTCAAAATATTATAGAACTGGCGGCCTTTTCGAGTCTTCAGGGTTGCAGAGGGCACCCCCATTGTCAAAGAGCAACGAAGCCGCCTTGATGCCCTTAGCAAACAGCAAACTTGTAATCCTGATGGCAGTGTTGGCAGCATTTCAGAATGGATGTTATCTCCGGTGGGCGACGTGGTGCTCACCGACATCTTCTCAGGTTGTATTCCCTTCCCCTCCTCCTAACCCTCTGAACAGTCTTAACATGTGTAAACCCAAACACACACACACACACAGAGACACACACACAGAGACACATACAGACACACACACACACACACTCACACACACCCGCGCGCACGCACACCCGAATCCTTTCACACCAAAGTTCTGAAAGCGCTGCAAGGCATTCAGGGGGGTTTCTTTTGTGTTTGATCGGGCTGCGTGTGCCTTTGCGCGCCCGGACCTTGCTCCCGAAAGGGCGTCCGATGATCTCATCGTGGTGAAAATTCCCAAAACCTCAAGCAGCGATGACATAGGTTCTAGCCGGCGGGTGGTGATTTGCTCGTCACACATAGAGCATCTATAGCCAGGAAAGAGGAGCAAGGTCACAATTTCGGCAAGACACCATTTTCTGCCAAAATCAATGGGGCTCCGACGATTGTTGGTGATGCCCCCATGCTTGAGGACAACCCCGAACACCTCCGCAAGGTCATGAGTTGTACTTATCCTGGCCCTCAGCTTCTCAGAACCCTCTGCAAGGCAGGACCGGCAAGCCCCGTGCCCGTTGTTCGCCTGTGTGTAACTGCCCCAAAGGATGACGAAGTCGCCCTCCTTGACGCCTGAACGCCACCAAGTGTCAACTCAACTAGCTACCATGCCAGGTAAGGAATGATGCCGGCAATGGGTGCCAAATGCAACTGTATTGCCCCTTGGGGGCACTTGGACCTTCAGCACTTCATCCGGCTACAATTTGACAGATTCTGACAAACTTGATCAGACTTGAGAAGTATAACTCCAAGAGCTTCAACGGAAGGCGAAAGGTGTTGTGGAGGAGTCATGGGGCAGGTCTCGATGCCAACACTTCTTCGTGACAGGAGCCTGGCATGGCCACCAAGAGACAAGGCCTAAGGCCTCTTGCACTCCGAAAGCCCAAAACCCATCTTGCACCATCATGCGCCCCCTGGAACCTCAAACCTAGATCCAAAACAAAAACGCAACCCGGGCCTCCAGACCCGTGAGCAGGCTCTACAGGCACCGCGACAGTTTCTGCCGAGGCCGTCGGCCTTGGACTGTAGGTTGAAGACGGGTTTAGGCGGTTGAGGATGCTTAGAAGGTTCTGAAATTTGGGGGTCGCATCCGTGTGTGCACGTGTGAGTGCACACTTGTGCGTGTGTACACTTGTGCGTGTGTACGTGTGTAAATCTTCATGGGGTCAAGCCCATGACGGGTTTGCGCACCTCGCCAATGTCATTTGCAGAGCGCCTGGCCCTGGCCGGCAGTCAACAAACACGCCCTCCCTGTGCGCTTGTAAAAACCAGGCTTGCTCAGGTATGCAGTCAGCCTGTCATCTAGGCATCGCCAGGTACCGTCACTAAAAAAAACAATCGAAGTAAGCAAGTAAGCGTAGGTAAGTGTAAGCAAGTGTAAGCAATTCTCAGTATGTGCAAATAAGTGTGCGTAAGTGTAAGTAAGTGCAGGTATGTCAATGTGTAGGTAAGTGTGGGCACGTGAAAGCAAGTGTAAGTCAGTGCCAGTAAGTGCAAGTAAGTGCAAGTAAGCGCAAGTAAGTGTAAGTAAGTGTAAGCATAAGAAAGTGCAAGTAAGTGCCAGTAAGTGTACGTAAGTGTAAGTAAGTGTAAGATGTGCAAGTAAGTGTAAGTAAGTGTAAGTAAGTGTAAGTAAGTGTAAGTAAGTGTAAGTAAGTGTAAGTAAGTGTAAGTAAGTGTAAGTAAGTGTAAGTAAGTGTAAGTAAGTGTAAGTAAGTGTAAGTGTAAGTAAGTGTAAGTAAGTGTAAGTAAGTGTAGGTAAGTGTAGGTAAGTGTAAGTAAGTGTAAGTAAGTGTAAGGAAGTGTAAGTAAGTGTAAGTAAGTGCAAGAAAGTGTAAGTAAGTGTAAGTAAGTGTAAGTAAGTGTACGAAAGTGTAAGTAGGTGTAGGTAAGTGTAGGTAAGTGTAGGTAAGTGTAGGTGAGTGTAAACAAGTGAAAGCAAGTGTAAGTAAGTGTAAGTAGTGGCGTGCATGCGTGCGCGCGTGCGAGCGGGTGTGACTATAGTGCTGTAGACGGTGAAAGTGAAGCTAGGCTCTCATGATAGCAAGCAGTCGGACAACGCGGAATCTCCCAATTTTCCAGCGCACCATAGTAATTGCAGCAAATTGCACAACCAGCCACATCAGGCATAACAGATGCCTCAAAGTTCACCCAGTCACACGACGCAATATTGTATCCCCCCCGCATGCCGCAGGGTGGCAGTGGGTGGGGCACGCACATGACAATCCGCGCGCACTCAAAAGAGCTAAGCAAACCTCACCACGTGCAAGAAGCTGCGCAGTCAACAACCGGCAATGACGCGCAGCGGACAAGGAACTGAAGGATGTGCGCATGCGCGCATGTGCGCATGTGAGCATGTGCGCTTGAACTGGATGCATATCTTTCTAGAAAGCTCCAGACTTCAAGGGGTTAAAGCTCTTTATAGTTGGCACGTGCAAGCATGTTGTCACGCAGGACCAATCCACGCCCCAAACCCTAAACTCGAGCCCGCAGGGCTGTAGACTTCAGATTTCGGAGTTCAGAGGTGGGGGTCTGGGTTTAGTGTTGGTTGAGGTTGAGCTGGCAGAGATGCTGGCACTTCTATGTCTCGATGGGATGTAAGGATCTTCCAAACCCCAAGAAACTCCGGAGGATGAGGCCTGAGTGTTTCTTTTCTTGGTTCCGCTGCAGTGCAAGAGTGATTGGGGGCTTTAGGGCTTGATTCAATGGGCAGATCTCTTTGAGGGGGCAGCAAGGCTTGTAAATCTTGCAATACATTGTTGGCCAAGCGGCGTCTCCAGCGGCTGGCACGCCATGTTCCTAGGTCAATGCCTGATTCGCCTTGAACTGTAGAGTTGGTTGGGTAGGTTGGGTGGGTTGGTTGTAAGCTTCGGGTTGGCTGTTGACTGGGCATGTTGGAGTGCACATGCTGCAAGATGCAAACAACAGGGTCTCCACGTCGGTATGCAGGCTACGAAATCATTTAGATGAACTTTGGGCTTCGATGACCTCAAGGGCTGAGCGTTGTTTTGCAAACCCTTCCTTTGAGCCATCGCCAGGCTGCAAGGCTATGGTTGCTGCGAGGCCTTCGTATCATTCGATTCAAGTCGTCAACCCTCTCCATAGCCCCTGTCGTAGTTGAGGAAAGAGACGTCGGAAAGATCTTCGGATGCCCAAGGGGGAGGGGCACCCCACGGCCAGGCCGGTGCTTTCGGCCTTCTCCCAGGGCGTTGGCCTGAGTGGGCTTAGAAGTTGGGGAGATCCTCCACGGCGACATAAGCTCAGAATCTGTCAGAGGATGAGGCTGAAGGCACTGAAGGCGCTGAATGCACATGACTGAGGCCGCGGCCTCTTCTTGGGATACGCGTCGTGCAGATGCTTTTCTTTGGCCCCGGGGCCGTAGCCCTGGAAGGTGGTATTGTACGGGGTTTCGTTCAGGCCTCAGAGCCTTGCTCCAAATGTGGCTGTGTCATTCAGAAGATGAAGAAGAAGAAGAAGATGAAGAGGAGGCTGCAAAAAACTTCTCAACTATGGACCAGCGTAATCCCAGCACAAAAATGAAAGATCTACCTTACCATCAATGATGTCGTAGCCGCGGCGGCGCTGCTCCTCCAGGCCAGTGTTGAGTTCCGGGTGCATTGTGATCTCTGTGTTTTGTGTATGTGTGCGTTTTCGGCTGTCAACTTGTTTGGCTACTTGAAAGATAAAAGGGAGCTGCCATGGCTCCGAAAGTCTCGAAAGGAGTATGCTCTTCGCCGGGTCTCCTCGTATCTCTCGGGCGCCACGCGGTTCAGCTGGCGGACCTCGCAAGGGCCCCCATTTGGGCCCCAAGAGTGCCGCAGAGACGTTGGAGGGTCGCAGGCCTCACGGATGTGGTCGCCTTTGATGTCCTGCACAGCGTGAGACGGTAACCTTCACATGCCTTCATTGAGCCGCCTTGCAAACAGCATTTTGTTGCCTGGCCTTGTGTCTTACCACCCTGTACTGAAGCGAAGGCTCAACTGATCCACGGACTGGAATTCGTTCAACTCATCGGCAAATCCCGGCTACATAAACTTGAGAAAGACGAAGAGAGACACCCAGCAAGAGCAGCTGACACGCAAACCAAAGACGCTCAAGGTGCACATCGCAGGCCCTAGCGTGGAAGTTGTGGTCGACGATGTACCGATTCCTGGCACAGCCAGGAACTTGGCCACTTTGGACGACACTCCGACGATGTCAAAGCAAAAGCAACGGCCTGCAGAGGCCTCCGCAGCTTTCTCTGATTTCGGGAATACGATTCGATACACAGACTGGTCTGCACATATGGCAATGGCGAAGATATCCACACCTACTGAGGCCAAAAGCAGGCATGCCTGAAATGAGTCTGTCCACTGGCATCCTACATCTGAGGGCAGTGAGGGACCGTGTGTCACCTCTTTTTACCAAAACAAAAAAAGCACCGAGACCTGCAAATGATCTGACTTCTCACGAAAAACATGTTCTCCCCTGGTCCAAACGCGGCAGGCGCAGCTTGTACCGATCCGTGCGCTCTTTTTGCATGGTGTCGAAGAGCCGGAGCATGTCAGCATCGTAGGTCTGACAAAGGCTGAGGGCAAGAAACTGCAAAAAGGCTTTTGGGCAGGTCCAGCTCTTCTTGTCAGCTCCTCTTTGAGCTGACACGAGCTCACGGAAAGCAGGCTACGCCTGGAACCTCAAACTCCGAAAAATTTGAATCCGCAACATGAGACGATGCCCGGGCCTCATGAGACAAAATGCCATACGCAGCGGTCTCCCGGCCCTGGCAGCTTGAGCAAAGGAGTTTTTCGAGCATTTGCACCATTACACGTCAGGATCACGTCAGGCCAAAAGCCGATTCATGTGCCGAGTCATTCCTTGGACCCTGCCACGGGAAACTCGCACTTTTTCCGGCCTTGTAGGAGGGAGGGAACTGAGCATTCCCGCGCATCGCAATCTCCACCTGCGATGGAGGTTCTTGTCTCACCCTGAGGCCTAAAAGAAGCACAATCCGTGCAGATGCATGCAGCTGTAGATCGTGAAGCCTTACAAGCTTTCTGCTGTGATTTCTCATATAAAGCTAGCAAGCGCATAACTTGTCACAGGGACAAGAGAGCAGGGCTTGCCTTAGTTGCCCCGCAAAGCACCAAACTCGGCTCAACCTACACCCGACATCGCTGGTTTGACACTTCTCAAAAAAAAGGCCTACAACACCCCCAACTCCGAAAACCTTTGCGAAGGTCTCGCCTCTCTTGTGTGGTCGATGCTCTTCAGGCGCTCTTCTCGGTACGGGTCGATGAACTTGCCCACGAGCTGAGCACAAGCTAGACGCTTTCAGTTCAGGGGAGCTCAGGATGGTTTGGGGAGTGGCTGAGGATTTGGGTGCCAGGAGGTGAGATGGCAATGAAGAAACACCATATGGTGACTTGTTTTTGTCCGGTATGCGTGTCCTTGACAAGGCGAACTTTTCGCAAGGCAACATGGTCCACAAACCTAGTACCACTCCAAAGAAGAGTCGAGATCTTGCACAAGGCGGCAGTAAAGATCTCACGGTTTTGTCATGAAAGGAACACAAAGAGGCAACACAGCCACACCAAGCCACAGCCTCAAACCTGCAATCCCTTTGTTCTTAGGGTTTAGGGTTTAGGGTTTAGGGTTTAGGGTTTAGGGTTTAGGGTTTAGGGTTTAGGGTTTAGGGTTTAGGGTTTAGGGTTTAGGGTTTAGGGTTTAGGGTTTAGGGTTTAGGGCCCCAAAACAGCCAAGACCCACACGGGATCGTAGGCGTTCTTGGCCATGTGTTTGTCTGTCGCCTGCCATTGGGGCACAACGGCGACATCTTGCGGGGCGCTACCATACGTTCTTCTAGAGCATGCAACTTAACGCCACAGCTAGAGACCACCGGCTATTCCAACCCCATCGTCAAAAAACGAACCTTCCGCGCAGCACGAAACAAGACTCGCGCAGCAAACATGAGGCTGACACAAATTCATGGTCCTGGACCCAAGGTATAGACTTGCACCCCAAGCCAACTTGCTGTGGACTCTCTTTTTTCCCATGCACGTGGCTCACGTTAACAAGGGCTTGCAGCACTTTTGTGCAGCATGCCACGTAACAATCTGTCACCACGCCGATGAACCGGAGTTGAGCTATGATGTGAAGCCAAGCATTGCAGCTCTCTTGTCAAACCACATCGATGGCCTTGTAGTTGCTTACGGATGGAATGCTTCTGGTCGCCCAAGTTCTTGTCAAGCCATGAGACTATCGGGGTTTCAGTCACAAGCTTGGATCCATTAAGAACCATATTAAGACATACAAACATGGCAGATCATCGCAGCTTGGGGAAGTTCGGTTCATCAGGGGTCAGAAGCCTACACCAAACGCCCACAGTGGGGCGCATGTGACAACTTTTGGCACAATCTGACCACCCAGATCAATCCAACACAGTTGGGCCTTGAGAGAAATGATTCACTTCAGTATTCCCTACCCTTGCAGCTACCTTACGTAGGTGCCGTTTTCAGGCAGGTCATTTTTCAGATGCTTCGAAGGTGGGCACTCCAGGGATCTCTCTGGAAAAATAAGGGGAAAGTCGGGGCTGGTAGGTTTGCAGGTTCCGGGTTGCGCTGGGCGCTGGCTGGCACTTTTCACCTCGGAGGATGTTCAAGGCGGATGCAGGAGATGCACCTGCAAGCCGGAGGGTAAGACAGATGCTGTTTGTCGTAGTCTGCCGGGCGAGGTGGCAGGGCTACGTGGCTCCAGCAGGATCTGCTATCACGAAAGCAGCGTAAGTAGTTAAGATAGGTGTGCCCAGGCTGCGGCCAATGCAACTTCTGGGCAAAGGCTCCACTGAGGCGTGGACCGACTGCGACGGCTGCATCATCCCAACGAGCTCCTCAAGCAGACTAACTTCGAGGGACTTCCTGTTGTGACACTTGAGTCACATCGAAAACTATCGTGCAAAGGACCCCCACTGCAACATGCGACAGCATGCGACCTCGATCGTCATCCATGCGCCGGCGCCGCCGACTGTGGCTTCCAACTCACCGGTCCTGCAAAAAGGACAGGCACAACACATGTGGCGTGCACAGGCTCCACACGAAGCGCAAGCTTCCGTGTAGAGTCAAAGGCATCGAGCCAAGAGGTTGCCAACATCCTCCTTTAGGGCTTTCAGGGCGAGGCTGGGGGTTTCCCAGCGAAAAAACCCTTCAGAGTTTACTGCTTCGGGATTCTCAACATCTACTTGAGCCAGCATCTCCCCCATCTGCTTTCAAGACGCATTCTTACACCACTTCAACCCCACAGAACCGCAGGACCATGAGACCAAACATCAGAGGACCGCAAGACCACCCCGGACCAGGGGACTCCAGGACCGCCCGCATCGCCCGCATCGCCCGCCACAACCGGAAGCCCGAGAAACTTTAAGTGCCTGCAAGATCCTGAAAGTGCCTACGCCTTAAACCCGAGTTCAAGACCCAAAGAAAGCCCGCCCCCTACCCCCTGATCACAAAGTGCTCCTTGGGCTCAGCTGCATGGACACTCGCTGGGTTCCAAAGAGGTAGCTGCCGGGGCCCAGCCGGCAGAAGAGCGCCTGACCAGATACCGTGCAGCCTTGGGGGTTCAAGTCGGAGAACCAAACTTCCAGTGCCCCTGTGCACAGTACGGGCTTCTAAGATACCTAGAGGTTGAGAGCGAGCCCTTCGAAGCTTGCACGCAATGAAGATGAAAACTCGCTAACCGCTGCCTTGCTGGCGCTGTTCTTCGGCTGGTTGGCGAACTCCGCAACCTTGCAGAGCAAGGCTGCTGTGTGATCTAGGCGTTAACCAGTCCAGTCTCCATATGGAATCATGCCCACAACTCAGTTGGCGGAATTTGCGGCTGCCAATGCACGTGGCCGGCATATTCGTTGGAGTATGGGCTGCCCTGGCCCGCTGCCGCCTTCTCATCGACGGGATCATCTGGGTGAGGCCTCACCAAGTTTCACCAAGTGTTCAAGCTCAGTGACCCGTAGTAGCAGCCATAGCATTCTCAAGCACAGGTGCAGAGGATGCAGACAATGGAAAAGCTTGCAGAAAAACTCAACACGGCCTGTAGGCTTCCGCCAGGAGCACTGTGGAGATGGCTGCAGGGAGGTTTATGGAGGCGAGGCCTCTCGGCAAAGCATCGGTGTAACATGAAGAGGTTGTGCACGTCACTGGGTAAAGGACAACCAATATTGTACTGTTGTAGAGCCACCTGTCACCTGCGCAACATGGCATGCACCAGAAGAACGGCACGGCATTTACAATCCGCACCCCGGCAAAGCCCACTCTCTGTGAATCTCTGAGTCCGGCTGGGGGTTACAACCACAATCCTGAACGTCTCGCCCGGAAAATTTTGCCAGCGAGCTTTTGGCCAAATTTCTACACCCGAGACCAAAAAAAGTGTGTTTTTCACAGCAGTTCGCATCTGGCAGCCGATTTCTCAGAGAAAAACGTAGAGGCGCAAAAGGCACTTTGCACCAGCAGTCCTGCTCATCGACTCTGAGCTTTAAACGCCTGCATCCCAAAATCCCTTTCTCAACACACGGACGAGGAATCTCAACACAAGCTTTTGACCCCGCATCCCTTCTCGCTGGCCTCGCTGGCCTGCAGGCTCCATGGGCATATGGATGGGCCTGGAAACTTTCACAGCAGAAGAACAAAGACTTGCCTAGCCCCGGGGCGTAGAGAGCCTTCTCACACCTACTTTGCCAAAGGCGCATCAGCTGCCAGCCACGAGGCAAACCTCAAACCTTTTTGGGAGGACACCGTCAAGAATGTCCGTGTTTCACCCTTCGGTCCCGCTGTCGCCCCAAAGATGCGCATCATCGACATTTGTGGCTCCGTGAGTTTCGTGTGTGTTTTCAGAGTCATGGGGCCGCACATCAACAGGTCAGGGTCGGCTGCGTCCGGGGAGGGGCCACAGCCAGGTCAGTCACTTGCACGTGCTCAAGCGCAGGGGACATTCACATTTACAAATACGATGATTGTTATGATTGTTATGACTGTTGTGGCTGTTATGGTTGCTATGACTGTCACGATTGTTGCGATTGCTCTGATTGTTAGGATTGTTGCGAAACTGTCGTGGCCTTCGGAAGTCTGGGTTAGACGCGAAACTTTTGTCGCTTTTGGACGTCTGGGCTCGCATGGTATTTCACTCAAGCATCCTTTGAGCTTTATTTCTGTATTTGTAGTTGTACTTGCGCTTGCACAAGCATTTGCATGTGTACTTGTTTTTGTTTTTGTTCTTGTTGTCGTTGTCGTTGACATAGTCGTTGTCGCTGCAACATCGTCATCCTCATCGTCATCCTCATCCCAGTCGTCTGAGCATCGGGGAGTCTGAGAGCCTGCACACTGGTCGGCACCGACAAGTCTGAACGAAACGGCACAAGGGACTGGGGTCGTAAGAGTGAGAGTAAGGGCCAAAACGAAGACGAAGAAACGCGTTTGGATCACGTCGAAGACAGGAAGGACTTCGAGCCCGGAGAAGAGGAAGCTAGGAAGAGAGCGAGGGCGAAGACGAAAATATATGGCGCCATAGATCAACAAAACAGCAGCACAAGCAGAGAAGGATGGCCCAGCCGGTGGAGGGCAAAAGGCTGTGGCTTAGGGGTCCCCCACGAACAAGGCAGGCCGGCGCTGTTGTCCTTAGAGAACCTGAACCCCACGCCGTACAAAAAGTCATGGTTGGAGGCGCTTATATGTGCCGCGCGAAAGATGAATTCCGCCGGTGAACCCCGAGGTCAGTAGGCAGCCCCGTTATAGACACACATCTGTATATAGAGATACATAACTCCAAACCATGAGACTTCTCCTAGGGCCCGCGCTCTCCCCCCGCCGATGCCGTCTGAAGCGCCCGGCCACCTGGCGCCTGGTGAGCCCAAGGAGGGAAAAGAAAAAAATGATGCCCGAAAGGATTGAGGATTGGGGCTCGGTTTTTTCCGCTTTAGGGGCGGTGGTGGAGCCCCAGTGTCCCCAAGACCGCCCAACACATGGTCACAAGTGCTGATGCATGCTGCAAATCCGAACATCTTTACTCTCAACCCCACATCTTATGACTAACAGTACCCGACGCAGCCGCGCTCGCCTTGCTGACCAGCTGGCCTGAAGTGCCACCTGCAAGGTTCGCAACATGCTGCTGCCCTCGACTCGAGGACAGAAAGCACCGAGATAGATCCAGATCTTCTCAGGGGCTTGGTTCGCGGTACTGTCGTTGAAGAAACACTTCAAAGGCGCATCTTTTGGTGCAAAGTCGCATACCAGCGTGTATTTGGGGCGAAGATTCCACGACACAGGTTCAACATGGAGCTTATGCAGCTGTATCTTGATGTGCCACCAAATTGTTGCTGCAGGTAGATGTGGCGCAGGTTCATGTACGGACATGTCTGATTCTTGGCGTGGGCTTTGCCAACAAAGGTCACATGTGGCTTCAAAAGGTGGACTTGCATGTGTGAAATCATGTTTCCGCCAGCGAGTGAAGCCCGACCCGTTCGTGTTCTTCAGTCAGCCGCACTGCTCGAGTGGAAGCCTGTACTTGGGGAATGACGTGACTTAACTACGTGCCGAGCGGGACATTGTCTCAGGTCGGGTGGCGGAAGTGCTGGCAAGCACAGTGAATTCGGAAGATTCTTTGAGAGGAGGTTCACGGACCACTTGATAGTGCTGCGAAAATATGCCTCAAGCGCATAGATGTATCGCACGCAATGGTGATGTACAGCAACACGACGCTGACGTAAATATCATCGTGCTTTTTGCGTGTTTGCATGTAATACCAAAACGTCCAACATCTTTGTACC